TGGGGCTGCCGTGGTCCCGGTCCCGGCTCCCTGCTTGCTGTGGCCGCCTCCGCTTTTCCCGGGGCTCCCGACCCAGGGCGATGCCGAAGCCCAGGGTGCGCTGGGATGCAGCTTTGGTCCCTGTGCTCCTGGCTCCCATGTGCTGCCAGGGGCTCCTCAGGCAGGAGGGGCAGCAAACTTTGGCAAATGGGTTCTGTGAACCCAATATTTTTGCACAGGGCCTGAATTTTTGCTTTCCTGGTGTTTTTAGGCTCCTATGTGGCTCGGAGCGTGCTGAGCTGCTCATTGTCACTGGTTGGGTTTATCAGGGTGCAGAGGGGTGCAGGGAGCTGCCGGTCCCGTCCCACGCAGCCGCTCCCTCCCGCTCCAGCCCGGATCCCTGCAGCTGTCCCCAGGGATTAGATTCCAGGCTGGGAGTGAGAGAAGCATCGTGGTTTTTATTCTGGTGTGAGTGTGGCGGGGACGGGGACGGGGGGAAACAGCTGGGGCCTCGTGGGCTCCTGGTGCCCGTGGCTCTGATCCCCGTGGCCGCAGCCGCTCGGCTGCGTCCCGCTCCGCGGCGCCGGTGCAAAAGTAGGTGTCAAAGTTGGAACAGATCCTGTGATTAACTCGTCCCTTCCTCATTAGCGACACTTGTGCGGGGCGGAGGCAGCATGTGCCGAAATCCCGATCCGGGCGAGTCGCACTGTGGTGGCGGCAGCTGCTCGCTGCTCCGGGGTGGGATCCGTGCGGAGCTGCCGGGGCTGCCCTGGACGGGTCCGGCTCTGCCGTGGCCAGAGCGGGGGCTCCGGGGCCGGGCCGGCCGGGGCCGCGCGGGAGCAGGAGCCCGGACGGGCAGCGCGGCCCTGGGAGGCTTCGCTGCCTCCCGCCCCTCCCGCGCGCCGGGTAAATAAACACTCACCCAATAATCTCATTCTTGGAGTTCTTCTTTATCCGCTCCGTAAAGCGAAACAGATGGGCCCGGAGCGGCGCCTGGCGCGGGAGCCGCGCGGTCCGGGCCGGTTCGGCTCCGCGCGGCCGCGCTCCCGGCCCGCTCCGCCGCCTGCCCTGCGCGCCCGGGCGACAGATTGCAAGTGGCACTTAGCGCCGAGCGCCGCGCTCCTGATTACCCGCCGGATAACGTTTTAATTGTGCTGCTGGCACTCCGTCAAGCTAATTTGAACCGCGCTTCGATATTACAGCATTTATTTAGTGCCATAACAATATGGATTAATCTTAAACTATAACGCCGAGGAAATTATATCGCACTTATTTCGTATTTGCCAAACATTTAAAGGGGCCGTGGCGGGGCGGGCGCGCAGCAATGCCCTTGCACGGGACCGTGGCTCCTGCGGGGCCACGCGGGCTCCCCACGGGCTCCCCTGCGGCTCCTCCGCACGGTGCCGCCGCCGGGCCGGGCGCCCGTTCACGACACGGTGATTTGGGGGTTGATTGTGCCTATTTGCTGTGCTGGCCCCGCGGCCGTGCTCGAGGCAGCGTCGCGCGTCCTTGGGGCCTCGGCCATCTCTGCTCTCCTTATTTTTGTTCTTTCCCTGCTGGTGCAAAACCCGTAGGAGCGTCAGATGGAGCTGCTGGTCCGGGGAGCTGCCCTGTGTAGGGGCTGGAGGAAACTGAGGCAGGGAGAGCAGGGCCGTGGGGACCCCCGGTCTCTCCGCGCATCCTGCTCCGCACGGAGAGAGCGAGATGTGGGAAGAGCCGCAGCCACCCTGGCCGCTGGCTCTGGGCTGCCCGGGGGAGGCTGCACGGCCGGATCGGCCGGGGGCTCCAAGCCAAGGGGGTGCTGGCCCTGGTGTCGGTCCCAGCGATCCGGAGGGGATCCTGGAAACGCCCCGCGCATGGGGTGGTGGGAACGGCGCGGGCGGCGCTTCCCGAAAGCGGCCTGTCCCGCAGGGCGCTCCTGGCGGCTTCCTTCCACGCTGCTTGCCTTGCTGCGCCGCGTGCTCCGGTCAGCGGGGTGGGACCGTGCACACGTGTGTGTGTCTGCACCCCGGGGACCGTGGGGGCCGCACCGAGGGTGCCTGTCCCGGCTGCTTCCCCACGTCCCGTGCAGCCGGGTGCGCGTACCTTGGGATGCATGCTACTGTGTGTGCAAGACCCGGGTCCGTGTGCACTGCGTGTGCATGCATTGCGTGTGCAATGCCAGGGTGCAAGCGCGCCGAGTGTGCAAACCCCGTGTGTGTTTGTGCGTGTACACTGCACGCAACTCAGTGCAGGCATGCACGTCCTGCTGGGTGTGCAAGCCCCGGGCACGTTTGCATCGAGGGCACGTGCAGGCCCTGCACACTGGCCACCTTCCGGGGGGCGGCTCGGGGCTGCGTGCGCGGCCCCGGCCCCGCCAGGAATGTTCCAGCCCCAAAATAGCCGCGCAGTAACAGTACCCGCGCCTGGGCCCCCCGGGGAAACGACCCACCTCGGGGGCGGCAGCGCGGGCGCCGCCGGGCGCGTTCCCGGGGCGCTGTCCCCACGCGCAGCCCCGCGCGCCCTTCCCGCCCGGGGCGGCTCCGGCCGCCCCCTCCTTTCCCGGCAGCACTGGCTCTCGGCCGCGCGCCCCTTCCCGGCTCAGGGCCTGGAAAGCCGCTCCGGAGCGGCGCAGATGTTGCCGGAGCGCTTCCCAGCCGCCGGGCACCCCAGGGAGCGTGCGGCCCTGTGCTTTGGCCCGCCGAGACCCGGTGCGCTCATTGCCCCAGTGGCTCGGGCTGGATTGAGGCCGGCCCTGCTGATGCGAAAGCGCTCGCGTTCCTGCTCCCACCCGTGGCTTGGCTCCCATCGCGGCCGCGCGCCTTCCCGTAACCCTTTCCCCATGGCCCCTGCCTCAGTTTCCCCTGTGCGCCGAGGGGATTTACCGCAGGGTCTTGCTCCGGACCAGGGGAATCGGGCACCGTTCAGAGCCCCTTGGGATCTGGCCCCGCTGGCGCTGGATCCCGGGTGCTGGATGTGGCCCCCGCGTTGACCACGGGCAGGGCGGCCTGGCTGGAAAACCCCCCGGAGCTCCCAAAAGCACGGCCCGGGGGGCGGGATCGCATCCGCGCGGCGGCTCCGCTGACCCTTCCCGCGCCCTGGCTCCCGCCGCGGGGGAATTTCTGCCGGGCCCGGAGCTGAGTCACGGCCCGGCCGGGGGCGCGGGGAGCCCGGCCAGGGAGTTCCCAGGCTGACGCTGCCCACGGGGGCCGGCGCGGGGCCGCAGCCGCCCCGGGGCCGCCTGCGGGGCCACGGGCGCTCTCGGGAAGCGGTGGGAGTGCGGGAAGCCTTCCCTGCGGGATGCGGCGCCGTGGGAGAGCGGAGCCCGCCGGGCTGTGGGAGGGAGGCACCCGCCGCTCTCTGCGGCTGGTCCTCTTTGCATGGGCTGCAAAGCACTGCACCGTTCTGTGCTGCGCCGTGCCGTGCTGCACCGTGCCATGCTGCACTGTGCTGTGCCATGCTGCACCGTGCTGTGCTGCACCGTGTGTTCCCCTTTGCATGGGCTGCACCGTGCTGCACCATACCGTGCTGCACCGTACTGTGCTGCGCCGTGCCGTGCTGCACCGTGCCGTGCTACACCGTGCCGTGCTGCACCGTGCCGTGCTGCACCGTGTGTTCCCCTTTGCATGGGCTGCACCGTGCTGCACAGTACTGTGCTGCACCATGCAATGCTGTGCCATGCTGTGCTGTGCTGCAGCATGCCCTTCCACACTGTGCCATGCACTGTGCCATGCTGCACTGCGCTGTGCCGTGCAGTGCCATGCGGTGCCGTGCCGCGCTCTGCAGCGGCCGGGCCGGCGGGCAGCGTGCGTGCGTGCGGGCGGCGTGCGAGGCGGGCTGGGAACGGCGCGGCCGCGCGCGCCTGGGGAGCCGGCCGTGCCAGGGGGCGTGAGTCAGCGGCTCGGATATGTAGGGGAGAGTGTGAGAGCGGGGCCTGGGGCCCGGCCAGCGCAGCCGGGCTGCTGCGCGCCAGAGCCGCGCCGCCCCGCGCTTCCCCTTCCCGTTTTCCCCTCTTTTTTTTTTTTTTTTTTTTTTTTTTTTACTGCCTGTTTCACAGCTTCCAGAAAAGGCTCCTTCTGGAAATGTTGGCTTCCTGTGGAGCTCCTGCCGCCCAGCCCTGTTCCCAGGGTGGCCGCGGCTCCGCGAGCTAGGGACGCCCTCGGGCGATGGGGCCGCGGTCGGTCGGTGCTCGTGGCCGTGGGGCCGCGCCGCCGCATCCCGTGCCGCTGCATCCCGCGCCGCATCCCGCTGCCCGCAGCGCTTTGCCGGTGCCGCGGGCCGGATCCCGGCTCCGGTTGCCGTGGCGGGTCAGGGCGCGGTGTTCCCGGCCCACGCGCCCCGTGCCCGGGCTCGGCCCCTGGCCGGCGGGTACAGGAAGGAGTGAGCTGCCTGTAACCACATCCCGACACTCATCCCAGAGGCATCCCGGAGGGATTAGCCGGGGAGCGTGGGCCGGCTTAGAGAGCAAGCATCACTTCCTCCCCGGGCGCGGGCGGGCGGCCAGCCGGGAGGAGCGCGGGATGCCGCGGCCCCGCCAGCCCACGTCGGCAAACACATGCGCGCGGAGCGGGGCCAAGCGGCCGGGCGGCCAGCGCTCCCCCGCGGCCCCGGCCCGGCCCGCCCGCCCTTTGGCTACCGGCTCCGATATTTCCAACATGATCTCACGGCTCGGCCTCCCCTCCCCGGCCCGCCCAGCCCCTCGCCTCCGGGCTGGGGACCGGCACGGGGAGCGCGGTCCTTGCTGCCACCGCGGCCGCTCGCTGCCTTGCTGTCCTCCATGCCCGCACGCGAGCGCTGTCCGGTGCGTGCACCCGCAGGGTGCCCCGCTCCTGGTGTCCCTGGGGTCCCCCCGGTGCCAGGGCAAGGAGCAGGGTGGCCTCACACATGCAGAGCAGCGGCGCCTGAGCCCCGCGCGCTCCCAGAGCCGCTCGTGGCCATGCACCGACGCATGCGTGCCTCGTGTGCAGGGCACAGAACCCCTTGCAGGGTGCCCATGCACTGGAGCTGCATGCACACGGAGGGCGTGTGCTCTGGGAGCATGCATGCACGGGCAGCGTGCACAGGAGTGTGCGTGGGGAGGATGCATCCGTGTGCAAGCGCGGCGGGCATCGGGAAGGCGCGTGCCCCATCCCGGCCCCGCACTGACTCTGTGCCCTTGTGCCTGCAGCAGGGAGCGGCCTCATGGGGAACTCGCCCGCCTCCTCCTTCATGGGAAGCTTCCTCACGAGCAGCCTGGGCTCGGGGGCGCCCAGCCACCCGTCGGGCCCCGCCGCGTCCCCGCCGGAGCCGGCCTTCCGCGGGCCGCACTCGGGCACCTCGCAGCTCTGGTTCTCGCACTCCCACGAAGGTAAGCGAGCGCTGCGGACACGGACGGGGCTCTGCGCGGCGCCGGCTCGTGGGGCGACAGGTCACGGGGCTGCTGCTGCTGCCGTGAGCCCCTGGGACACTGTTGTACCCCCTGGGATTCCCTGGGATCCCCTGGGACTCAGGCTCAGTCCCTGGGAGCGGGGATCTGGCAGGGGGACGCTGAGTTGGCACTGGTGTTGGCTGGTGCTGCCCAGCGTCCCTGCTGCACCTCTGCTGAGACTGGGCCAACTCATGTCTCGGGTGGGCAGCCGGTTCCCCACCCCGCCACCCTGGCTGGCCATGGGGATCCCAGGCAGATGAAGGCAAGGGGAGGCCGAGCACGGCTGTGCCCTGCGCGGGCTGCCCGTGTCCCCGCGGCCGCTGTCCCCACCTGCGCGGCCGGCAGCGAGGGCCGCGCGCAGTCGAGGAGCGCGCCGAGGTGCTCCTGGCACCGGGCCCTGGCAGCCGGCCCGGCTGGTAGTTTGTCAGGCTGCCAGCTGGCGGGCGGCGCGAGGCCTGCGCGGCGGGCGCGGGGGGGCACGCGGCTCCGCCGGCACCGCGCGGCCCGGCCCAGCGCGCCGCTATGGGCCCGCGCGGCACCGGCCCGCGCGGCGGCGAGCGCGGCGCTGAGCGAGCGACGGGGAGGCGCCTGCGGGCCCGGCGCCGTGTGCGGGGCTCGGAACCGCGCCGGCCGGACCGCAGCCCTGCAGGGTGCCACAGGGTCCATGCACGCCGTGCGCACCCGTGCATGCTCACGCACATCTGTGCAAACCCGTGTATGCTGGTGCACATCTGTGCATGCTCGTGCACCTAAGTGCACACCCATGCGTGCTCGTGCACATCTGTGCATCCTTGTGCACATCTGTGCGTGCTCATGCATGCTCGTGCATGCCGTTGCACACCGGTGCAAGCGTGCCAACGTGCACCTGAGCCCCTGTGACCTATCCTGCCTGCAGCTCCGGGCTACCCGCGCTTCTCCGGGAGCTTGGCCTCCACCTTCCTGCCCATGAGCCACCTGGACCACCACGGGAACAGCAACGTCCTCTACAGCCAGCACCGCTTCTACGAGAGCCAGAAAGGCAGGTACCGGGGGCGCGTGGCCCCGGCCCCCGCGGCACCGCGGCCTCTCCGGCTCGCGGGCGCCCAGCCCAGCCGCCGCCGTCGCTTTTCACAATATTGTGGCGGGCGCTTAATAGGGAACATTGTTTGGGTGGGAAACGGAGCTAATTAGCGCTGGCCGTGCCCCGCGCGCCTCCCCTCGTTAGCGGGGAGCTGACGGCGCCGTGGCCGCGGCCCAGGGCGCCTCGATGCCTTCCAGGCGGCGCCTTTGATCCGAGCCAGAGCCAGGCACCGCGCGGGGCGACCGGCCCGGGATGGTCCTGGGGGGCCTGGCTGCATCCCAGCCCCTGGGTGGCTCCTTGGCATCTTCCTCTGGGGCATCCCGAGCCATGGGCAAGCCCCAGGGTACCCCAACCGCTGCTGAGCCCTAGTGGACCCCAGCTGCACCTGAGTTCCGGGACGTCCCAAGCCACGACAAGCCCTGGGATGCTCCCTGCTGCCATCGTGTCCAGGGCTGTCCTTGGCTGCCTCTGAGCCCTGGGTTTGGCTTTGCACCCAGGAATGATCTGGATGCTGGGGTGGATCCTTCAAGGGGTCCACCAGGGTCCTTGGCTGCACCAGGGTCCTTGCTGCACCAGGACTGGGCTGCAGCCAGGGACTCGTTGTGGTCCAAGCGATCCCATTGTGGCTTGGATGGGCTCACTGGTGTCCGGATGGGCTCGCCGTGGCCCAGGTGGGCTCTCCGGGCGCAGCCTGGTGCCGCGGGGGCCTCACCCGCCTCTCTGCCCCCCAGATAACTTCTACCTGCGCAACCTGCCGGCGCAGCCCACGCTGCTCTCCGCCAACCACAACTTCCCCAGCATCGCCCGCGCCGCCCCCGGCCACCCCATCGGCTCGTGCAGCCGGGAGCGCGAGGCCGCCGCGCCGCTGCCCAAGCCGCCCAAGGACTACGAGCGCTTCCTGGCGGGCAAGGACAAGGCGGGCAAGGGGGAGCCCAAGGAGCGCGCGCCCGACGACGAGCCCAAGGAGCGGCACAAGGCGGTGCTGCCCGTGCCGCCCGAGGGCCACTGCAAGGAGAGCGCGGCGGCGCGCGGCGCCTGCGACGGCCGCCCCAAGCACCTGCCCTCGTGCGTGCTGGGCACCAAGGCGCTGGCCGGCGAGGCGGGCAAGGC